TGACAACCTCCTGTCTCTCAGGAGCTCTCTTGATAAATCTTTCCGATTCTTAACCTCTGTTGTTCCTTGAAATTCAGTCTTCAATTTTGAGGGACATGAATTCAGCATATCTGACATCCAGAAAGTTGGGAGTAGAGCTGGGCGTGGTGGCTCACGCCTGTAATCCCAGCACTTGGGAGGCTGAGGCAGGATGATCATTGCAAGTTCAAGACCAGCCAAGGCTACAAAGTGAGCTCAAGGCCAGCCTGAACTGCACAGCGAGACCCTGTCTCAAAAAGACAAAAAAAAAAAAAAAAAAGAAAGTTGAGCGTTTCGTTCCTCCTATACCATGTTCACCGTATGTACTGATCATGAGGCTTCTAGATGTGTTATTTTCTGTGATCTTCGCAACAGCCTTTTGTGGAAAGTAAATGGATAACTCGACTGCCTCTTCCACGTCCTTCCATTCCTTATCCATTATTACTTAATGAAAAGAGAGAAGGGAGAATACATGGAAAACCCGTCTGAAGTTTTCCTTTTCTCATTGTCTGGAAACCCGTCCTCTCTGTGGGTTCTGATACATGGGCCAATAAATCTCTTCATGTTATCTGGTGAAACGTGTATTGGGCACAATTTTACATAAGAAATAAATAAGTTTTCTTTTTGATTATCTAGATCTTAGAAAACAGGCTAACTTACCTACCAAAGATACAAACACACATAACTCCTGGCAATTCAGCTCAGCTGGTACTCTGAGGACCTTTCCAGTCCGGATTTTCTTCTCTGATGGGACTTGGAAAGTCCAATACACTAAGACATATGCCTTCATTTAAAAACAACATCATGTTCAGAATCTTTGAATTATTTCTCAGTTTTTCCCAGTAGTGACAGCAATCTCTAAGCGATGATGATTCCTATAGGAAAGAAATCAACCTCACAAGCTCCTTATTTTTGAGTTGCTTCCTCTTATGGCTCTCCTCACCTATTCAAAAGCTTTGTCCCAAGTTATACTTCACAGTCTTGTCAAATGTGACTTTTCTGAGCCCTCACTGGGACTGTATGTGGCGTATTCTTTTAGAAGATGATTTTTTAGAAGCCCTTGATTACTCTCAGAGCAGTTGACTAAATTGCTGAGGACATCTTAACCACTTTGTATTTTTCTTTCTTCTATTCATTTAGCAAAGAATAGTTTCTCCTTGGTCTCCTCCCTGTTACCCATGAAGCCAGTTTCTGTCAGATGGACATATCTTTATATCAGAAATTAGGGAAACCAAGATAGTTCTGGTATTTACCTTTTTTCTGTGAAATGCCCTAGAAACTTGTTATAGCTGTTATAATTATAATTATAGCTGTCATAATCTTCCTATATGTTCTTAGTCTGTATTCGCAGATTTACAGTTAACAAATTCACCAAGTTTCTACACATTTACGTTATATTTTGTTGGTTCTATTGTTAATGGTGTTTTTGCCAAGTTGCTTTGGCTCACGTTTGTCTTTCTCCTTGCTGATGGACATCAGCCCTGCTCCTTGCCCTCCTTCCCCTGGGATGGCAGATGTGTTGCCAAGGTGTGTGTGGGGCGTGGCACTAGTTACAAAGGGGCACAGCACAGACCCCGGCCGCTACTTGTGTTACTTAACATTTTGATTTTATTTTTTATAAAGTTACCAATGCAAATTTATCATGTTAATATTAGAGGAAAATAGGCTAGACATCTGCATTGGAGGCACAGAGTAATGCAGATTCTTTATTACCAAAGGAAATGAGAAAACATTGTCTGTTATTCAGCAGCTCCAAAGCTGTGCTGAGAGAACAATGCAGGTTGACATCCCCAGACTGAGCAGTCATTCCAGTACTCCCAACTAACAGGAAAGTGAAGAGGGAGAAAATAGAAGACTTAAAATGGGATATTTCTTTACATATTATTATTATGGGACTTAAAATGGGGTATTTTTAAAAGTGAAGCTTTAAGTAACATAAGATTCAAGGCAGGGTTCTCATTTATTAGCCAAATAGGGAAAGTCATTTGCCAATTATATTGGATTGTGAAGGGGAGGAGTGTTTTATGTTGCTCTTCTCATTGCTGAGACAAAATATTCAACACTCAAAGTTAAAAGGAGAAAGGTTTATTTAGCTCACAGTTTGTAGAGGTTTCAGTCTGTAATCAGTTGGCTCCAAGGCAGGGTGGTACATGGCAGAGGGGCAATTATTCATGGCGGCAGAAGACACCAAAGCAGCAAGAGAGAGAGAGTGAGGCATACCTCTTTCTGTCCCTTATGTTATACCCAGTCTGCTGGGATTAGGGTGGTGCCAGTCCAATCCATGGATTGATCCAGCAATTGCCCTTCATCCAGCATCCTTAACCCCAGAATTGCACTATAAATCAATCATGGACTCTAGATTCAGCCACCTCTGGAAAAACCCTAAGACCCAGCGTTGCTTTAAACACAAACCATAGCAAGGCGTAACTGCAGGTCAGCTGTACCTTAGGGGGAGGAAGGCAAACTATCACAGAAGTAAACCCATCTTACCTACACTGCAAAGCATGAAACGTCAGTTCTAGCTTTTTGGTAATAGAGGCACCTTATGACTCCTTTGGGGTTTATTCTGATGATTTGTTACTTGTAGATTCCTGTAGTACTTTTATGAGAAAGCTAGTTAGAATTGACTAGAAACTATTAATACTAAAATAATTTAGGTGATGTGATTAGGAAGGATATAAAAAGAAAAGTACCATAGGTTCTTTATGTATAAAATGGCTACTTAGCATAGTAAAATACTCTATTACTAATAGCAGCTTAACAGTAACTAGAAATAAGCATAAGAATTGTCTAAGCCTTATATAAGAAATATGAAAAGTTACCAAGATCTGTAAGAGAAGTAGTAACTAAATAAAGAAACATAGCATGTACTTACCAAAATCTGTCAAATTTACAGACGTCTATAGATTATTAGAGTCACTACTAATATGTGATTTCTTTTGCCCTCAGTGTTTTACCAAGTAGTCTTGATATATTTGACCTTACTGTAGCTCAAATTAATAGATTATATTGTGCTTAATTTAAAGTATGGTTTAAACCAGGTGTGGTGGTTCATGCCTATAATCTTAGCACTTGAGAAGCTGAGGCAGGAGGACTGCTGTGAGTTTGAGGCCATCCTAGGCTGCACAACCAAGTTCAAGGCCAGCCTGCACTACATAGTGAGACCCTGTCTCAAAACAAACAAACTCACAAGCAAGCAGACATATGGTTGATATTTTCCTGGTTCATGTTTGTTAGACTAAGCATTTCATTAAAAACTTTATCATAAAGAATGGAAGAACTCTATTTTGAGGTCAGTATAGATGTGCACAGTGGAAGAGGTAACACAGAGATCCTGGATACCGCTCAGTCAGTTGGGTCCAGTGGTAATGTCTTTCATAACTGTGGTGTGCTATCACAGCCAGGAAATCAGCATTGATATAATCCACCTGCCTAACCCAGATTCTACAGGTTTGCATAGACTAATTTGTGTGTGTGTGCATGTGTGAGTGTTGGTTCTATGCATTTTTTATTACTACATGTTGGCAGTGCATAATGAGCACATTCACCATGGTGAGTTTACACACGTGTGTAACACATCTTAATTCTTTTTCTTCCCTTGTCACCCTCCAACCCTTATCCCCTCTCCGTTTGCAGAAGCTCTATTTCTGCTTTTCATTCTTTTTTAAAAATCCCTTTTCACTTCCTTCCATTTCTCCTCCCCATCTTTTGCTCCTCTTTCCACTTGAAAAAGTTCTTCCTCCTCTCTAATGTTTGCACTCTACGTCCCTCCTTATTTATGCTTAGGATTTCTCACACAAGAGAAATAATTTGATGACCCAGCTATTTACTTTCTAGGTATCTTCTTGAGTTAAAGTCATATTACAGGGATACATGCATACCCATGATTATAGCAGCATATTTATAATAGCTAAATCTTGGCAATGGCCTGTATGTCCATCAATAGATGAATGGATGAAGAACATGTGGTATTTGTATATAATGGAGCAGGACTGCCTTTGCTATAAAGAAAGATAAACTTGAGGCATCTTCAGGTAAATGAACCCCCCTCAAGATCATGTTCATGAGCAAAATAACCAAACACATGAGTTCTGTGCAGTTTTATAGCATGTGCAGGTGCACCAGCCAAGACACAGCCATCCCAGCAACAGGGTCCCTTGTCCTATCCTTTTGTGGCCATAACTTCTTTCTTCTTTTTCACTCTCCATCATCCGGTGGCTGCTAATGTATTCTGCAACTCTACAATCATCATCTGACTCAGAAAAGTTTAGTTTCTAAATGGTAATTGGAGCACTGCAAATGCCTACAGGAAATTCACATGTAGTTAGAATCAAAGAGGAAAAGATGAATAATAGGTTTGAAGGATGACAGTTCAGTGTGATCACATTCCTAATGGCATTTGAGTGCCTCTGAGCCACACTAGAGACAGATTTTTTCCTTAACTCATTTTCAGTTTGCTTCTTACATGAGTATAGTGCTAGAATTTTCATAAGCTACAGCGAAGTGTGCTAAACAAACTAGTCTTCAGGTTTAACTAAAGAGTTCAGTGTATTTTGTGAAAAGATTAAAAAATGCAAGAAGCCCAGACTTTTTTCTGTTATCTATATGTTTGCTTGTGTGTGTTTGTGTCCGTACTTATGATGTGTATTTTATCTATTTTTACTTGTTTTGTGTTGAATTAGAAAGGAGAAGCAGGGAAATACTTTCGTGGTTGGTGATTTAATTAAAGGTAGATGATTCCTGATTTTTTTTTTTTTTTTTTTTTGGTCTTTGTCCTTTTTATCGGTACCAGGGATCAAACTCACGACTGCCTGCTTGCAAGGCAAGTGCTTATGCCGCTGAGCTAAATCTCCAGCCCCAATTCCTGGTATTTTGATATTAAAACAACATCAATTGTACTAGAAGATAAAAATAATGAAAGTATGTATAATGGCTTTGCAAGAAAGAGGATGGGAATATTTGCATTTTGTTCATTTTTGCAGCTGGATTCTGATGGCGTTGTTACTATAGAGGAGCAGATTGTCCTTATTATGAAAGCTAAAGTGCAGTGTGAACGGAATATCACAGCCCAGCCCCAGGAGGAAGGTAAGGATGGTTGGAAAGCTGCTCCTCTGTGCTTCTTCACCCCAGTCCTTACTAGAACTGAGCTTCCCTCCATATTTATTGTTCAAGTGATCCTCAGCAGTTATTCCATATTTTCATTGGAAAGTTTTTTTTTTTTCTGTACCACATTTTCTTTCTCCTAATGTCAAGAACTGACCTGTCCAATTAGTGACTGGAAATAGTGGCAGGCAAGTGCACATCAGCCTGCCTTGGGAATCTGTCTACCTGTAGGACCATGCATACAGTTTAGTCCTTCACCATGCAGTGAGCTTGGAGGTGGAGGCTGTGTTCTCATGGAGATCACCTGTAGTTTTAGGTAGTAGACTCAATTCAGAGAAGCAAATAAGCAAGATCATTAATATGCAACTAAGCTATGTTCTGCAAAAATGTTTCATTAGAGCAGCAGCCATGGGCAGGGAGGAGAAATATGAAGCCAATCCACCCTTCCTGTGAGCCAGCAATAACTGTGGGATGGGAGGAGTAACAAGAAGCACTCTTCCTGTGAGCCAGTGGCAGCCATGGGCTGGGAGGAGAAACAGGAAGCCAATTCACCCTTCCCATGAGCCAGCAGTAACTGTGGGATGGAGAAGAAACCAGACGAGTCCTGCCCAGGAGCCAGTGGCAGCTGTGGGTTGGAAGGAGAAACAGGAAGCCAATTTGCCCTTCCCATGAGCTTGGTGGTAGCTGTGGGCTTGGAGGAGAATCAAGAAGTGCCATTCCTGTGAGCTGTTTCCCCTTCTTTCATCTCTTTTTTCCCCTATTGTCTTTTACTTTAATCTTAATTTATATTTTGAGTTCCTTATATAAGAGAAACTATGCAATATTTAAGCTTGTGTGTCTGATTTATTTTACTTGACTTTATGGTCTTAGTGTACATCCGTTTTCCTACAGATGATTAGTTTGTTCTTCTTTATGGCAGAGTATACTCCATTGTGTGTAAATACCACATTTTCTTTATTTGTTCATCTGTTGATGGACCTATAGACTGCTTCTAAGATTTAGCTATTGTGAATTGTGTTGCTATAAACATGGGCATTCCTCTATCACTTTAATATGGTTTCACTCTTTTTTTTTTGTCTTTTTCATTTTTTTTATCAGTACCAGGGATCGAATTCATGACTGCCTGCTTCCAAGGCAGGCACTTATGCCGCTGAGCTAAATCCCCAGCCCCATGGTTTCACTCTTTTGGGAAGATATCTACGAGGAGAATAGCCGGGTCAAATGGAACTTGTAGTTTTAGTGTTTTGAGAGCTCTCTACACTGATTTCCACAGTGGTTGTTCTTGTTTACATTCTCACCAGTGTTGTAGGCAGTTGTGTGACTGTCAGCTGTCAGTCATAGGATACTGGTAGCCAGCTGCAGGTGGTGAGAGCCAGCAGAGATGCCTTTATCTCATATACGTTGAGAATATGTTATAACGTATATAGCAGTTTAGAAATGTTACGTTTTCTCGTGAGTTAAATCTTTTACCAACATAAAGTGGTCTTCTTTATCCCTAGGAGTAGTTTGTTTCAAGTATCAAAATATGTATACTTAAATTTCTGCATTACAAAGCAATACTTAATAACACTAGTTTGTTTCTTTCATGGTAAGTATTTGTCTGGGATAACCTTTCCAATCCTTTTAAGTGCTTTAACTGTGATAAAATACATATAAAACTAAATTTTCCCTGTTCACCATTTTACATGTACTATTCTGTAACGTACTATATTCACGCTGCTCAGTGTTTTCAACTTGCTAACTTTCTATGTTCATTCTACAGCTGCTCCTCACACCTCCCTGTCCTTTCATTGACCTTCCCATACACTGTGGTACCTTGGTCCAAAACTCAATCCATTCTATGATTCTGGAAAACATGGCCACATCCATGTTTGTGCGGGAAGGATGGCTGCAGGTGTGTTCATCTTCCCATACAGAGTTCACAAACTAAAACAAAGTTTTGCCAAATACTTCTGTTTGCCAACCACACTGTTCTCAAATAAAAGCAATTGTGAACAGAGGTGTCACTGTATTTAACTTTTTGGAGTATCTTTTGAAAACAGGACACATGTGGACTTCTTGTTATTCATTCTGATAACTTTTGTCTGTTAAATGAAGAAGCTAGTCCAGCCCAACTACATAAGTTGTGATTATCTATCTATCTATCTATCTATCTATCTATCTATCTGCATATATAAATGAATTTAACTCTGACGTCTCTTACTTAGACTTTCTAACTCACTAGGTTTCACTAAGTGTTCTTTTCATTCCTTCTTTCTGCTTATTCCATTGTATGTTGCTTCTCTCTCACCCACAGCTAGTTTGGAAGAGATGCTTTGCATTTATTTATAGCACTGGTTACTCTCTAGAGTGATGATGGTGAACCTTTTAGAGGTTTTAATGATATAAACAGCCTGCTGTGGCTTTTGTGCCGTGATTCCTCATCATTGCACCAGAGGATTTTTTAAAACATCTTTTCAAGAAATTTTAGAGATTGCCAATAATCTTCTGCTTTTCAGATAATGTAATAATGTGGCACGCTTAAAATTGCTTCCCAAATTATATACTGTTGTTACTCAAGATTGTAGTTGTGTCTTAGTTTTGTGTCATTTTAATTTTTCTTCCTCCAGAAATATTATGTATCTATTTTCTTTATATAAGAATCTACTGCTCACAGTTTTTGTTTGTTTGCAAATACTTTTGTTTCATTTGCGCAGTTGGCCCTGCAGGTGTTATTTCACTCCTTCTCTAGCTTCCATGGCTGCTGTTGGCAAATTAGTTCTCAGTCTTTGTTGGTGATTGGCTGTTTCTCTTTGGCTTTTAACCATTGTGCTTTGACTTTGATGTTCGGTGGTTTTATCTGTGTGCATACAGGTCTAGGCTCACTGGATTTTCTGAATCTGAGGATCTGTGTCTTTGTTTGTTGACAGGAATGTTCTGGTTATCTCTCCTTGAAAATCTGTTCACTTGCAGTCTCTCTCATTTGTCCCTCTGTAGCTTTTTTTTTTTTTTTTTTAATTTTATTTAAGGAGAAAAGAAAAAAAAAGCAGGGAAAGGGTACAAGTTATACAGATTTACAGAAAAAAATGAACAGTAGGAAATCACTAGTTAATGGATTACATATTGTCATCTTAGAAATAATTGTTCAAGTCACAAAATTAAAGCTTGTAAAGTGGACATTCCATCAATGATACTGCAAACAGTTCTGTTCATTGATCCAATAAAACTCTGTGATATCATTTTCTATCTTATACACTTAAATATACATGCAGTTATATAGTTTAGAGCACTTTCTTTTCCTCTCTTTTGTACCATGACTATTACACATTTTGGGTTTCATTGCTCCCATGGTTCTTATTACTTTTTTGGAAGAGAGTAAAACCAAATGTGACATAACAGAACAGAATCGGTCAAGTCAAAAGGGTGGACATAATAGATAATGTAAAAACATAATACAGGTGATCAACGATGGTTACCATAATGTCTCCCGCTATCTCTAATAGAATTGCCTATATCATTAGTTATAATACAATTGAACAAAACAGTAAAGAATAAAACCGACAAAACCAAAACATTGGAGACATTGTATGTCTTCAAAAGTAGCTAAAAGTCAACAAGAATGGGCGTCATAATGAATCTCATTATCTTCATAGCTGATGCCTAAACTTTCGAACCTGGTACTATCCAGCAAAACAGAATAGGGGAACATCAGTTAAAAACCAGATGGTGAGAGTAATACAGGGCTTTAAATCAAGGTAATGAAAAGTCAAAATGGGTTACTATAATATATCCTGCTATTTTTTTCCTTTAATTAAACGGATAAAGATAAAAAAGTAAATAATGGAGTGGAGATTGAGATAAAAGAGGGCATAACAATGAAACAGCGCAGATCAAAACATAACCATTTAAGCAGAACAGTGTTTCACCACCAGATAATCCTAACCTAAAAGTAGTTACCATATTGTTTCTTTCTTTGAAATCCTTGAGTACAACTTCGTATACTGTAGCATTAAGTATATCAAAACAATGTAAAACCATTCAAGAGAATGACAGCATTACAGAGTATTTAGAATCGACTAACAGAAAATGAACAATGGTTTCTGTATAATCTCCTTGTCTTTAAAAGGTTTTTGCTTATACTATCGTACATAATAAAATCCAATAAGATACAGCCTATTTAGACCATTGGAGACAGAAGGACAAAAGCTAGATGAGACTTCAAAACAAGATGATACTAAATCAGTATTACCTATTAAGATGTCATTTTCTCCAAAATAGCTGTTCCTATCATCCAATCTTCCCTGCCTCATTTCTGTTAAGCTCTTTTTCTGTCAGTAGCTGTCAGTTTGTCTTCTTCATTTTGTTCTCTGCTCCATTTGTTGTGGCCTCCCCGCCACTATTTCTGGGTTCTTTGTATTTTTCTTTTTTTAGAATATCCTGCAATACTTTCTGTAGGGTTGAATTGGTGGTTGCAAATTCCCCCAGTTCCTCTTTATCCTGGAAGCACCTTGTTTTTCCATCAATTTCCAGGGACAGTTGTGCAGGATATCTCAATCTTGGCTGGAGATTATTATCTTTCAATGCTTGAATTATTTCCCCCCACGCTCTTCGTGATTTGATGGTTTGTGCAGAGAAATCTGCTGTAATTCTGATGGGTGTTCCCTTGTAAGTGGTCTGTTTCTTGTCTCTTACAGCTTTTAATATTCTGTTCTTGTATTGAATTTCTGGAATTTTTATTATTATATGCCTGGGTGTTGCTCTGTTTGGGTTGTAGGTAGCTGGGGTCCTGTATGCCTCATACATCTGAGTATCTTTACCTTTTGCTAAATTAGGAAAATTTTCCTGGATTATTTCTGTGAGTAGCTTTTGTAGTTCACTTGTTTGCATCCCTACTTCTTCTTTTATGTTCTTAATCCTTAAGTTATGGATCCTCTTATCATCTTCTTGTCTTTGTATTATTGCTGTTTGTTTCTTTGTTATTTTTAAGAAGTTTTTCATTTCAT